ATGTTTCAAAATTAGGAAGGGAAGCAGTGATTATTTGATTATATAGACGCTTCGCCCCTGTGTGTGTGTGTGTAAGGATGTGTATGTGTGGCAGTGTGTGTTTGATTATATCTATGATTTTTTTTTCAATTCCCATCGTCGACCTTTTTTATAATCTCTTGTCAAAACGTGGCTTGTTTCGTCCGTGAAATATTTCATTTCAATACCCTTCTAAACTTAAAAATAAGTCACATTAAATGTGAGACTTGTAGGTCTAGTGCTGTGTCATAACAACCGTGGCAAAGACTAAAAAGAAAGCCGTATTTCAGAACAGATGTGCCCCTTGCAGATTCGAATGTGAAATTGACGCCTCTCGCACCCCCCCCCCCCCCTTACCACTTCCCCCACCTCTTTTTTTCTTTCTACCTTCTTTTTAAAAAAATTAGACAAGAAAAATCTGTATTGTCCCAGAGGCTGTACAGGTCCTTAAAAACAATCATTGCAGGAATACATAGAAATTACATGAGGTATTATTTTCATTAAAATTCAGTATGAAAAGAAAAGTAAAGCTGTCAATATGTACATATCACACATGCAGGAATATACCACAAGACCTTAAGAGTTATATAGATCGATATATATATATATTCGAAGCAGCAATACTCATTGATGTTTATTCACAGAAGCCTTATACTAAATCAAATGGTAAAAAAACCCTTCTTTTGTATCTTTCTTTCAATGACATGAAAGCTCAAAAAGTGGGTCATCAGTTCAAAAATTGGTTTCCTTTCAAGAAAAAAAAAATTGATTGCAGTTTTTTTTTCTTTTCTCTCCACACCAGGTGGCGTGGCGCCGTGTGGACCAGGACGAGTTTCTGACCATCGGGACAATGGCCTGGTCTCCGGACGCCCAGATGGTTGTGAAACACACCAAACACAGTGAAGAGCTGGATGACTGGGTGCTCATTTTGCCCAAGGTCAAAGGATTTTAAATGTCTGATTTTTGGGGACATAGCAGAGAGGGGAAGAAACTGGGTGTGGATGTGGATGTGTGTGTATGTGTAAGTGTGTGGAAGTGTGTGTGTGGAAGTGTGTGGAAGTGTGTGTGTGGAAGTGTGTGTGTGTGTGT